GAGTTAATATTTTTTTATAAAAAAATTAAAAATTAATATTTTAAATAAAAAATATAAAATTAACATTTTTATTTATGCTTTTACACCAAAAATGCTGACTTAGTGTTTTTGTTTGGACTCATAAGAGATTCGATATTGACCGAATTCTAAATTTCCCCTCCTGTGTTAGAATCCTCTTATTTCGCAGGCAAGCGTGAAAAAGGAAATAATCAAATATGATTGAACAAAGCAGCAATATTTTGACTCAAAAAACCCAAAAAACCGAACCCAAGAGACTGGATAAAATGTAAGGGCAAAAGAGGAAAGTCACATTGAGTTTAATAGACTTAAACATTAAATACCCATTTCACCCCTGCTAAAAATAAAGAGAAGAGCAAGGTTCTAGGATTAACAAGGAAACCAAAAAAAAATATCTTTGTAAAAAGACCAAAAGGTCAGAGTATAAGGACAGAGGAAAAAAGGGAGAATCAAGGGCAAAATAGGGAAAAAAAACTGTGAGGGGCAGGATACTTACTGTTCATTCCGCGAGGCAAGTCTTCCTTCCAGTAACTACTTAGATATTCACTTTTGCAATAGTATTGAAGAGTAAAAATTAGTAATAATCACAAATTTTACTTGTTAGAATTGAATTCAACATTTACAGGACATGCGTGGACTTACCATACAAACAATTTCTTACTCCAATGAGAAGTCTTGCATCTTCCCGTAGTGGCGGTGAAGAAAGTGGCAATTTCAGAATTCAAAAATTCTGCAAGATCCTATGCCCTCACTCAGCATTCAAAACGTTTAGCTCAAAATTCCTATTTCTCAATTTTCATTTGAATTCATTCTGAACTCCTTTTTCATCTTTGCATTCAATCAATTGAAACTCTTCCATAATAAGCTCAAACACAGAGGCTTTGTGCTGCCACACGCAAAATTTTAGCTTAGCTGAGAATCAATCCAATATTTTCTCACCAGTTGAGAAAATGTTCCAGACGAATGGTCCAACCAAGTAGAGCCCAACGGAAATTTTGAAAACATCATCCCAAGAACCTGTGGTTAGGAAGAAAATGTCAAATGAATCAGCTATATCAAGAGTTGCAACAAAGAGGAGCATGATGCAGCTCGGAGCAGCATACTCTTACCATCTTGTATGTGCCAGGAATCAGATTTTATATTCTAATTAATTTCAGATAGTCTAACATGTATTTCTGGTTAAGTTTACTAGCAGCTCAATTCAAACATTAAAAGAGGGAGATCTAACCATGTTGTAAGATGTAACCAGTTGCTGCTGTTCCAAAGAACCCTGCCAAGTGCCAACACTCCTGCCATGTTGGATAACCCAAGCAGTACTCCTTGAAGCAATAAATACAATATAAAAGGTGAAACTGTTATTTGCCTCAGAAAAGCTTAAGGTTGAGTTTGGATGAAGGATTTTAAGGTGTGATTTCATAATAAGAAGAAAATGTGAAGAAAGGATTTTCAAATTCTTTCTTTTTTGTCAATGGCGGAGTGAGATTATAGTTTAGTTAGAGGAAAATGAGCAATTTGAACGAGGGATTTCAACATAATATCGAGGGGCAATATCTTGATGGTTTGAATATAGACCAGATTGCGAGAATGCATCAGTTCCGTATTTAAGACGGATGAAAAATTAAATAATTGATCAACCGCATACCTTGACCAATTACCCAGAGCATCATGATATCCAAGTTTCAAAGTCTTGTGACTGGCAAGAAGCATACCTGATTGCATGCCATACAAAAAACAGCCATTGCTGGAGAATCAACATGGCTCAGCTGAGTGAGGAAGAAAGCAGGGCCCAAAAATCCAATTGTTTGCATGATCTGCAATGGAGTACAGAGTAAGCAATATATTACATAAGCTTCCAAGGAATCATTACGAAGGAAACAATAGTTTTTAAGCGTGCAACAGTGCACAAGGGAAACAAAGGGCACGTGAACAAAGGGACGTGCATTCCAATGCCACCATGTAAATGTGTATCAGTCACAAAAGGAAAAAAAAAAAAAAA